TCTTTCACTACTAAATTTTTCCTATCCTTCCCTGCAGCATTACACAGAGTTGCCAGATATCAAACGTGTTATTGTTAACACCCATGCAATTGAACCACAGGTATGTTCATAGTGCTTGAATTAGCCTTTAGTGAAGTCATAGGTTATAGATGACTGATTTTGCATCTTCATAAAGGCTCTTGTGGAGTTCTTTGGTACACTATCTCGTGAATGGGCTCTGGAGTGCATGAAGGACCTTTTGCTGGTCAATCTCAGAGGGAACCTTCAGATAATCGTACAGGTACATAATATACTATATCTTATTGCGCAAACAAGTTTATGACCTAAATTGAAACTGATGGGTAAATTCTCTCTGTAGGCTTGCAAAGAATACTGTGAGCAATTGGGTGTAGAATCATGTATTAAAATTTTTGAGCAATTCAAGTCATATGAAGGGCTGTACTTTTTCCTTGGTTCATATCTCAGTATGAGGTAACTTTCAGCAAAAGAATTTACTTCTGACATAGAATTCTATGATGCTAATTGCATGTGCCCTTTGTATGTTATTTCTGCTTCTTTATGGGGCAGTGAGGATCCCGAGATTCACTTCAAGTACATTGAGTCTGCTGCCAAAACTGGCCAAATAAAAGAAGTGGAGCGTGTGACCAGAGAATCCAATTTCTATGACCCTGAAAAGACAAAGAACTTTCTGATGGAAGCTAAACTCCCTGATGCTCGTCCCCTCATCAATGTTTGTGATCGTTTTGGATTTGTCCCAGATCTCACACATTACCTCTACACCAACAACATGCTTCGTTATATCGAAGGTTACGTGCAGAAGGTACTGGCTCTACTGACTCTTTAAATAAATGTATCTCATATTCAGTGCATCCACTTATCAATCATCTCTTTTTAGGTAAATCCTGGCAACGCCCCCTTGGTTGTGGGACAACTGCTAGATGATGAGTGCCCAGAGGATTTCATCAAAGGCCTCATTCTTTCTGTACGTTCTTTACTTCCAGTGGAGCCCCTCGTCGAGGAATGCGAGAAGAGGTATGTTCCACATGCACTTTCCCAATTGCTTCCCTTCCTTGATTTAATTTTCAAAAATTTTGTTTCAGAAACCGACTTCGTCTCCTCACACAATTCCTGGAGCATCTAGTTAGCGAGGGAAGTCAGGATGTGCACGTCCACAATGCCCTGGGTAAAATTATCATTGACAGCAACAACAATCCAGAGCACTTCCTGACAACCAACCCTTACTATGATTCCCGAGTTGTTGGCAAGTACTGTGAGAAACGGGATCCTACCCTTGCGGTTGTGGCTTACCGAAGAGGAGAGTGTGATGATGAACTCATCAATGTCACGAACAAGAACTCCTTGTTTAAATTACAAGCTAGGTATGCAACTCATTTGCCATGTGATGTTTCTGTTTTGTACAAAATGCATTTGCTGCTGTATATTTACGCCTGTATTCTCTGGTTGCAGGTATGTCGTTGAAAGGATGGATGGTGATCTCTGGGACAAGGTTCTTAATCCTGAAAATGAATATAGAAGACAGCTTATTGATCAGGTTGTGTCCACTGCATTACCAGAAAGCAAGAGCCCTGAGCAAGTCTCTGCTGCTGTTAAAGCTTTTATGACTGCTGATCTGCCCCATGAGCTTATCGAGCTTCTCGAGAAGATTGTACTTCAGAACTCTGCTTTTAGTGGAAATTCCAACCTTCAAAATCTACTCATTTTGACTGCCATCAAGGCAGATCCGTCAAGGGTCATGGATTACGTCAACAGATTGGATAACTTCGACGGACCTGCTGTTGGGGAAGTGGCTGTTGAAGCCCAACTGTACGAGGAAGGATTTGCCATTTTCAAGAAATTTAATTTGAATGTTGAGGCTGTTAATGTGTTATTGGACAATATTAGAAGTATCGAGCGGGCTGTCGAGTTTGCATTCCGTGTTGAAGAGGATTCAGTTTGGAGTCAGGTTGCCAAGGCTCAACTCAGAGAGGGACTCGTAAGCGATGCGATAGAGTCGTTCATTCGCGCAGATGATGCCACACAATTCCTCGAAGTTATCTGTGCTGCTGAGGATGGTGATGTTTACCATGACTTGGTCAAGTACCTTCTGATGGTTAGGCAGAAGGTGAAGGAGCCCAAGGTTGACAGTGAGCTGATATATGCATATGCCAAGATTGACAGATTGGGTGACCTCGAAGAATTCATCCTGATGCCTAATGTCGCAAATCTGCAAAACGTCGGTGATCGCTTGTACGACGAAGCCCTGTATGAGGCCGCAAAGATCATATATGCGTTCATATCTAACTGGGCCAAGTTAGCTGTCACACTTGTGAAGTTGCAACAGTTTCAAGGTGCTGTTGATGCAGCACGGAAAGCTAACAGTGCAAAGCCATGGAAAGAAGTTTGCTTTGCTTGCGTCGATGCTGAGGAATTCCGCTTGGCACAAATTTGTGGACTTAACATTATCATACAGGTAATCTATCTATTCTCTTAAATTTATCGCTGTTAAGATTTGTACCTCAAATAATTTTGCTTTTCATGCTTTGCACCAGCTATATGACTGCACGAATGAGCACAGCAGTTTCCGTTTTAAGTTATATATCACCGGAAATTTATCCTACAATGTTCACGTCCTAACAAAATACTCAAAACATATGACCATAGTTTAGGGTTTCCCCTTTTTTCTTTCTCTGTTTTTGTACACTGAACAATTTATACCTTTTCGCAATTATTAGGTTGATGACTTGGAAGAAGTCAGTGAGTACTACCAGAACCGGGGATGCTTCAATGAATTAATCTCTCTCATGGAGAGTGGTCTAGGGTTGGAACGTGCACACATGGGCATCTTTACCGAGTTGGGAGTTCTTTACGCTAGATATCGCCCGGAGAAGCTGATGGAGCATATCAAGCTGTTCTCAACCAGGCTTAACATTCCCAAGCTTATCCGAGCTTGCGATGAGCAACAGCACTGGCAGGAGCTGGTCTATTTGTACATCCAATACGATGAATTCGACAATGCTGCGACCACTGTAATGAATCACTCCCCCGAAGCGTGGGATCACATGCAGTTCAAGGATATCGTCGCCAAAGTCGCAAACGTGGAGCTGTACTACAAAGCTGTGCACTTCTACTTGCAAGAACACCCAGACCTCATTAACGATCTTCTCAATGTCCTCGCCCTTAGATTGGATCATACTCGTGTTGTCGACATTATGCGCAAGGTACAGAACAAATATATTGTTCTTATTCATGCATTTTCCTCCATTGGCATCGATTCTAACGTGTAAACGGCTTTTCTTTACATATGCCTTCTGTATTCAGGCTGGTCATCTACGTCTCATCAAGCCTTACATGATTGCTGTCCAAAACAACAATGTTTCTGCTGTGAACGAGGCTCTGAATGAGATCTATGTAGAAGAGGAAGACTACGAGAGATTGCGTGAATCCACCGATTTGCACGATAGCTTTGACCAGATAGGTCTTGCACAGAAGGTGAGTTATTTCGCCTTCTTCCACCATTTGCATTAACCGGTATTTTCCCTGAAGCTTGACCCTGGGCCATTTCCTTTGTATGCTATGAACAGATTGAGAAGCATGAGCTACTTGAGATGAGACGTGTAGCAGCTTACATCTACAAGAAGGCTGGTAGATGGAAGCAATCCATTGCACTGTCGAAGAAAGATAGCCTTTACAAGGACTGCATGGAGACTGCTTCACAATCCGGCGACCGCGAACTGGCGGAGGAATTGCTTGTTTATTTCATCGACCAGGTATTCATTCCCTCATACCTATCCCTTAAGGGAATCGAGCCCGTGTCTTCAGCATGAAAAGACAATGATGTCCTATTCAATCGAGAGCCCAATCCTTGAGCTTTTGAGTTTTAATTTCTCATGCTGTTTGTTTCTAAAGTAATAATGTCGTGCAATGGTGTTACAGGGGAAGAAGGAATGCTTCGCAGCGTGTCTCTTTGTCTGTTATGACTTGATCCGGCCGGATGTCGCCCTTGAGCTTTCCTGGATCAACCACATGATCGACTTTGCTTTCCCGTACCTCTTGCAGGTGATTCATCCCTTTACTTACGTAATATCTTTCCATTCCATCACTTGTGGTACAATACACACTAAGTTTGTGTTACTCCGTAATCCGTATTGAATTCAAATCAACCTGCCCGTTTGCGCTGTTGTGCAGTTCATTCGGGAGTACACAGGGAAAGTCGATGAACTCATCAAGGACAAGATCGAAGCCCAGAAGGAAATCAAGGCTAAAGATCAGGAAGAGAAGGATGTAATCGCCCAACAGGTACCCCAAAAAATAAAACACCTTCACAACCTGCTTGTTGTTTCCTGATTTACTGAAGCAGCAAGAAAAAAAAAACTTTTTTTTGTTGGTGTTACGACGCAGAACATGTACGCTCAGTTACTGCCGCTGGCATTGCCGGCACCACCGATGCCGGGAATGGGAGGACCACCGCCGGGAATGGGAGGAGGCTTCATGGCGGCACCACCAATGCCGGGAATGGGAGGAATGCCTCCAATGCCACCTTTCGGGATGCCACCAATGGGAAGCTATTAACTTAACTCTCCATTTTCACCTGCGTTTTCCTTTCTCCCTTTTGCTCTCCACTTTGTATGCTGTCCACTGCCCGAAACAGTGGAACAGATCAAAGACACGACTCATGTTTTTCTCGCATCGTAGGCTGTGTTGATAAATATGTTTTGTAATATTCATTTTGTAGCAGAGAGAGATGCATTTTCTTTTTCTATTATGGGCTCTGCTGATTTGATTGAGAGGCAGTCCTCAAGTATTTGACTTTCGTATAGTGTTCTGTATTAGTCTCTGGATTGACTCCATGTCTCTATCGCGACTCTATAGGAATTCACCTTCGAATCCATTTTAATTTTGTGCTCTCTGTTTCTATTTTTACCACTGATACATCTGTAAACGTTTTTTTTACACACGAAATATCTGCTACCTGTAGGAGGGTGTGAACTCATCTCCAAAAGTTCGGGACTGCCGCGGGCTATCAATCACAGCGCGGAACGACGAGCATTTCGTATCTTACAGCACGGAACGACAGGGTGTCTATGTCGCGTGCGCTCACGCGCTCTAAGAGAGTAAATAGGATGAAGGGCCTAAATCTTCTTCGTTATCACTCAAACATGCACACGGCTTGAGCTCGCGCTCTTAGATTCGGTCGTCTTGAAGCTCCTCCTCGTATGTCTGGCTCTTGAACGTCTACGATCGCAACAATGGCTGTCGCTCTGAATGCCGGCGCCGGCTTCACTTCTCCGGAAACTCTCTTCTCCTTAATCTTGAATTGTCATCATCATCATCTTATCCCATTCGCTTGGTCGCACAGTTGAATTCTTCTCTATTTGAGCACCGATGAACTTGTCGGAATAGTAATTCTCGTTAGGGTTTGATACCATCTATTTTGTGAAGAAGCTTTTTGGGTCTCCTTGATTTGTGCTCTGGAGACCACGCACTTGTTCTTATGCGATGTATTGCTTCTTATGAAGCGAAAAATCGGCAATCCATTTCCATATATATCCAAAGAAATCTCTTCACTTTTCCCGAATTTGGTTTTGACCAAATTATTTGTTTCTGCAAAATGGAAAATTTTTCGTGTCCCTGTAAAGCCCTGGAGTTTTTTTTTTCCGGGTACAGTTATCTTATTGTCACAAGTTCATGAATTCTGTAGGTTTGAGAATTCCAATTATGGCGGCGGGGGTTCAGCGTAGAGATTGGTTATCTGTTTGAGTAATATTGTCCGGCTGCTGCTGAATTTCTAAGATGAAAAAGCTTGATGTTTATGCTCTGATGATTTGCTTGTTCGCTTGCTTGGTTTATATTTGACAAATTCTTCTTTCGGCAACAGATTCATGCCAGATACCAGCCTGTTCTAAGGTCCTCGGTTAAAGTTCCATCAGCAAAACCTACGCTCTTTGGATCCAACTCTTACATACATGGTTCAAGAAGGTTAGTCCCGAAGAAAAGAACAGTAGTGGTTATAGCTGGCAAAGAAACAGATGACAACGCGATCACAGCCGTTGATTCTCCTCCTCCGGATTCTGACGAAGCAGGAAGCCAAATTCTGGGTGCTGTCGATGACAGTCCATTGGTATCCAAAACCACAAGAGCTTCTTTGACGGCAAGGGAGAGACTGAGGGCAGCTCGTGTACTTGGCCGATACACGGAAACATCTGCAAAACCCAAGAAGCCCGAAATGGGAAGCAAATTGTTGGATGCAATGAAGGAGAGTGACAAGAAAGCGAGGAAGAAACCGGGTCTTCCAGAGGCACCCACCAACTTGTTCGATGATAGCAAGAGAGGATTGCCCAAAGGCTTCACCTTTCAGTTCCCCGGCGGCAACGACATTCTTGTAATCGCTTTCTCCTTCGTTTTGATTAGCACTGTGATGTTTGCCACCACTTACCTTGTCTGGAAACTCGGTGCTATTCACTTCAATGAATACTAGTCAGGTAAGATCTCCATCAACTTTGATCAGATTCCTCAATGTATATCATCAATTGGAGAGCTTTTTCTTTTGGCCTTAGGTTTAGTTAGATCAGTACATGCTACAGATATTTGTTTCATACTTGACAAAGCCGGTTCGTGGGCATATGCATAATACATGTAATGTTTCCGACTACTTGCAAGATGTATTGTAATTTTGTTACTAAGAGATGATTCAGGGTGCAAATTGGAAGGCCGTAAAATAATAGCAAGGTGGGTTTGAAACCTTGAAGAATCCGACCAATGTTTTTTTGTTCATATAATAGTCGAACCATGAGCCGAAACTATCCGAAACCGAGGACAAAATTTCACACTATGCCTTGAGTGCCACAAACTTGACACTTGCCCATATAGCCCCTTGGTTGAGACGAAGAAGAAGACCCCCGAGGCCAGTTCGAGCGACGAAACTGATGAGGAGCATTGCCTGATCTCACAGAGGCGTTATGAGCCGATACATAACCGATACCGGGGCTGAGGACAGAATCCGCAAGGAAGCTGTCAGGAGCAGCTTTGCTTCGTGATTAATAAGCTTCTCATGAAGCTCGTCGATAGAGCATGTCTTGCTGCTTCCAAGGACCGAAAGCAGGGTTTTCGGTGACCGCACCATCGGCTATTACAGTGGCAGGATGAACCGGAGTGGAGGCATCCACGAAACAGTCTAGCTTGTAATCTTCAAAGAGAACCTTCACTTGAATACTCCAAGTGAGGAAATTGGTGGATGTAATTGGTGGATGTAAGTTTTGTAATGTTGGACATGTTGACATATAGTAACGTCTTTTGCAGAGATTGAGCGTCAAAGGAGGTGATCTCCTCAGTGTCATGCGCGGCAGAGGTCAAGGAAGACATGTCTCGACGGCGGCTGGGAGAGATGCAGATGCGGCGATGATCAGCCAGGCGAAAAAGAGGCTTACGGCAGTAGCTAGAGACCAATTAGGGTTATTCCCTCTGATCCCATATAATCAATGAATGAAAGCAGATACATAACGAGATATTTATACAAGTAGGTTTAACCTAAAATACACATGTAAAAATACATAATTATCCCTGTATAGTTCATGCAAGTGATTGTCGTTTGAAAGACAAAATCAATACCGAGCAATATCAAGAAAGATCGACTGAGCATCGATCACGTAAAGAGCATGGATTTGTGATCGAAGAAAGTTTTTGATCGGAAAGAGATCCATAAGTAAATGCAGAGGTAATCGAATATAGATTGGGAAGGCGGAACGAAGGACGAGCATAAATTAATGATCAAGATTATCCAACAGAAATATAGCCCAGAAAACTAGAAAATAAGTTCAGACAGATCGAAACGGAGAAACCGCGAATTCAGTCGGACAAAAACTGAGGGAACAGGAGGAAAGCGAAGCAGTTCTCAGGCTCTACTTGGATCTCTGTCTCATCTTTCGTCTCTTCCTCTTCAACCTTCTCATACGCTTCTTCTTCCACTGAGAAAATCAAACAAAACCACTATCAGGATCGGACACAATGTGCGAATCAAAAACAACGAGGCGACGGAGATCGGA